TCCCGACACACAGGTTGAGAACCACTGACCTAGAGGCAAACAAAATCACTACTAAAAGCCAATGTGGGTTTGTCAAAAACAGATCATGCCAGACAAACCTTATTGCATTCTTTGACCAAGTGACAAAATTAATGGATCAGAGGAATGCTGTGGATATAATTTACTTGGACTTCAGTAAGGCATTTGATAAAGTAGATCACAACCTATTACTTGATAAGATAGAAAAAAGTGGATTGGATAGCATCACCACCAGCTGACTGACCGGCCGTACTCAGCGTGTGGTCCTCAATGAAACTGCATCTACATGGAGGGAAGTGTGTAGTGGGGTGCTCCAGGGCTCTGTTCTAGGCCCAGTGCCCTTCAACATCTTCATCAACGATTTGGACGAGGGGATAGATGGGGAACTCATCAAATTTGCGGATGACACCAAGCTGGCAGAAATAGCCAACATTCCAGAAGACAGGCTTAAGATACAGGAGGACCTGGACAGACTTGAACACTGGGTGCTATCTAACAAAATGAAATTCAATGGTGAAAAAAGTAAGGTTCTACATTTAGACAAGAAAAACCAAATGTACAGGTGTAGTTTAGGGAGTACCTTGTTCAATAGTAGTAACTGTGGGAGGGATATTGGAGTCCTAGTGGACAATCACTTAAATATGAGCCAGCAGTGTGATGCAGCTGTCAAAAAAGCCAACTCAGTGCTGGGCTGCATTAACAGAGGGATAGAATCAAGATCACATGAAGTATTAATACCACTTTACAATGCCTTGGTAAGGCCACACTTGGAATACTGCATCTAGTTTTGGTCACCACGATGTAAAAAAGATGCTGAGACTCTAGAAAGAGTACAGAGAAGAGCAACAAAGATGATTAGGGGACTGGAGGCTAAAGCATATAAGGAACGGTTGCTGGAATTGGGTATGTCTAGTTTAACGAAGAGAAGGACGAGGGAGGACATGATAGCAGTGTTCCAATATCTCAGGGGCTGCCAGAAAGAAGAGGGAGTCAAGCTATTCTCCAAAGTGCCTGAGGGCAGGACAACAAGCAACAGATGGAAACTAATCAAGGAGAAAAGCAACCTAGAACTTTCTGACAGTTAGAACAATTAACCAATGGAACAACCTGCCTCCAGAAGCAGTGAATGCTCCAATACTGGAAGTTTTTAAGAAGAGACTGGACAGCCATCTATCCGAAATGGTATAGGGTTTCCTGCCTGAGCAGGGGGTTGGACTAGATGACCTCCAAGGTCCCTTCCAACTTTATTATTATTATTATTATCATCATCATCATCATCATCAAGCTCAGTGACTGGCTGGGGAATTCTGGGAGTTGAAGTCCACACCTTAAAGTCACTGAGGTTGAGAAATATTGTATATGCCGGCATATAAGACAACTTTTAAGAGCGTTGAAGTTGGCGCCGAAGTCGGGGGTCGTCTTATATGCCAAGTCGTCTTATACGCCGGAAATAATGGTAGTTTCCAGCGTATAAGACGACTTTCTAGGCATGCGACTTGGCGCTGAAGAGGGGGGTCGTCTTATACGCCAGAATATACGGTACTGTCTTACACCAACTACTCAGAACAGTGTTTTTTATGGCTGGGGAATTCTGGGAATTCAAGAGCACACAACTTAAAACTGGCACACTGGAAAAACATTTTGCATCCTAACCACAAAATGCTTGAAAGTTGAATTGTTCAGTGATATGCTGTCAACTTAGAGGTATCTATAGGGAATGGTCAAAAAAGTGAGGATGATCTCTCTCTCTCTCTCACACACACACACACACACACACATACATACACACACACACACACACACACACACACACACACACACACACTGCTTTGATGCTTAGGCTAACTGCAAAACCAAGCATGGTCCTTGTTCACTATGAAAGAGCTCATTTAACTTTTTAATAATAATAAAAAATATATCCTGACCGAGTTATGATAGATCTCTGTAATGTTAAAAAGATTGCAAATTTGGTGAGCTGTTCTAAACTGCAGTTTCTAGAGACTATTATTATTATTATTACTATTACTACTATCTGGCTGAATTTTATAATATTTTATAAGAAGGGACCTTGGAGGTCTTCTAGTCCACCCTTTTGCCCAAGCAGGAGACCCTATACCACTCTGGACAAATGGCTGCCCAATCTTTTCTTAAAAACCTCCAGTGAAGAAGCATCCACAACTTCTGGAGGCAAGTCGTTCCACTAATTTGAAATCCATTCCACATATTGTAATCCATTCCAATTAGAAAATTGTCCAGTTAGGACAATTAGATGCACAATGCTGGAGTTAAAGCAAAAACCATGCCAGTGTGAGTAGTAAAAATTAACATTAAATATTCTTTAATTGTCATCTCTCTTAACAATAGCTTGGACAATCTATGAGTAGTATACATCTTCCTTAGTTGAGTTCTCAGATTAGAAAAACCCAGCTTTTATCTAAAATCATGCCCTCAGGCTACAGAAGAGGTCTCCAACCCCCAGTGTGTGGACTGGTACCAGTTCATGGCCCATTGGAAACCGGGCCGCAAAAGTGGCAGGCGGGCATACAAAATTCCATTTGCGCATGTGAAACCATCCCCTCCCCCTCACTACCGCCGTCCGCCTCCCCTGCCGCTGTTGGTCCGCAGAGCTGGAAAAATTGGGGACTGCTGCGCTAGAAGATCTGTGAGTCCACCATTCCAGATGAGCAAGAAGGAAGAACAAAATAAAGACACACCACAAGCTGGTTAAGAAAGGAATATCATGTTGTCTGGCTTCAAAATTATGGCTAAATATTATGGCAGAAACACCTTGAATATTAAAAGAGGTCCAGACTGCAAGAGGCCAAACTTTCTTAATCATGCCTCGATTTAAAAAAAAAAATAGTGGACATCCTTCATTGGGAAACCCAGTACAAAGCCAGTTAATGGAAGTCAGAAAGCTGAATTTCAGTACTAGGACCAAAGCCAGTGGGGCAGCTGCAATTCTCAATGGGAAGCCTAAGACGACTCGTTCAGGTACAGCTACAGAAATGATTAGCGAAGCCAGCACAATGGATGGAAAGCTTCTCATGCAGCTTCAAAACTATTACTTTTAGTTTCCTATAAAAAATTCATAGTTATTCCTAATATTGTATACTGCTCTCATGCATTCAAAGCACTTTGTGTATTTTATTAATTAATCCTTTTAAGAATCTTGTAAGTTAAGTCAATATTATGTTTCTGTACTTTCTTTTGCAGATGAGGAATACTAAGGTTGAAAAAGACTGGCTTGCCTAGGGCACATATTAAAAAGAGGTGACACCTTGAGACTTCCTGATTTATAGCTTTTTAAAACTACTGTTTTATATTAGATATCACTAGCATGATTATTAATTATTGTGGGTATAACCTACATCAGTGATGGCGAACCTTTTAGAGACCGAGTGCTCAAACTGCACCCCAAAACCCACTTATGCATCGTCGAGTGCCGGGTGGGTGTGGCCCATTGGCTGGGTGTGGCCAATTGGGTGGGCGTGGCCAATTGGATGGGCACGGCTGCGGTGGTAACGGCAGACTGGGTGGGACTAAAAAGTTCAATCAATCAATTTCAACTTTGCAAGATCTTTTTTTCCCCGTGAGAAGTTGAAATTGACTGGTTGAACCTTTTTTTTTTTTTTTTGCACATGGCGGTGGATCCTAAAGCGAAAAGGTTTTATAAAACCCAGCTGAAGGCCTAGGACTGGAGCGAACGGCGCACGTGCCCACAGAGAGGGCTTTGAGTGCCACCTCAGGCACCCGTCCCATAGGTTCGCCACCACTGACCTACATTGAACTTCTCCAGGAGCTCCTCTCATTTTAACCTTGCAATCATTTTATGATGTTTACTATGCTGAAAGAAACTAAATTTATCACTGAGTGAGGACTTGAGCCTGGATTTACCAAATCCAAATGTTCAATTACTGGACCACGGGCTTTTTATGCCAAGGCATATCTTAGCAGTATTTCCTTAACGCTTAAGACAATGTCCTTAATAATGAAAGGTTTGGGCACAACAATGTTTCCTATTATTATGTAATAAAAATTCAGTTTAGTGTAACATGATTAATATCACACACATACAATGGAAATCCATCAGAAATATCTATGGGAAATGATTGCAGATAGTATGTGGACTACAATTCCTATAGTAGATAGAAGTTTTTGGAACTACAGGTAGTCTCTGCCTTGTGACCGTTCACTTAATGATGGTCCAGAACGAGTTTACTTCCATGCATGGAGGGGATATAAACTCCTTCAGCAGGCAGCTCTTTCAGCCAGCCCCCCCCCCCCCGAGACGAGGAGGAGCAGAAAGCCAAGCAGAGAATAGAGAGTCAGTGCAGAAAGGTAAGAAGCATGGAATGCCTCTGGCAGGTGCTAAGGGATTGCTAAGTGTTAAAGTCATGTGACACTGCTTAGCAGTGGAGATTTCAGTCCCAATGACCGCCATTAACCAAGGACTACCGCTATGCCATGCTGCACACACACTTGATCTTAGCCAAAAGGCTAAGGAAAGGAAAGCATGGAAAAGTTCATCAGGGGTAAGAGTTACTGAAGAGGAGGGGGTAACACAGGTCAGATTTACCCTATTCTTTAAGTCTTGTTCTAGTTTTGAGAACGAGAGTAAATCCTTGGTTCAATAGGTATTCATCTTGAATTGACATTCTTTCTCCCCCCATTAATTGGCTAAATAGAAGATAATCACAATATGGACTTTAAAATGTTGGTATTTCTCTCACAAGTGAACATATATTCCAAAATGATCACTTTCTATCGTACCACAAATCCTTTTTCCTTTTCCCATTTGCTTTCATTTTTGTTATTTCCCTTTCCTATTTGTTTTCATTTTCTTTTTAAAACCATATTTTAGTTGATGCTTAATTACTATTAAGTAATTAATAGTATTATTCTTTAATAATTTTTTTTTTAAAAAAAGCAATCAAATCAGCCAATCAACTTCTGCCTGCTGTTAAAGTTCTGCCGCTCACCTTTAGGACTTCTTGGGCAGCAAGGCCTCCAATAAGGCTATTCATAGGGCTCAGATCCCCCATACATCCATATGCAAACGTCCGTATCAGATTCTCTTGTTCCTGATCCATAGCCTCCATAGCTGGGGTCCTCACCAGCTCTATTAACATATCTGCATCTGCCTGCCAAAGAATAATGACTGAGGTTGAAGAATAGATTTGGCTGGGGAAGGGAAAGGAAAGGGAAGGGAAGGGAAAGGGAAAAAAGTAAATAGCTGGATAGGTAGGTAGGCCAGACTTACCTGATTCTGAGGCCTAGGAAGTCGACCAAATTTTTTCTGGAATGTGTGAAGTGCCTGGAAGGCTGCATGAAGAGTGCGATAACGAAAAAATTTATTTCTGTCTTGGGTGTTGATCTTGGGATTATCCATGCAGGCTCGCAGAGACAACTATGAATATAGAGAAATAAGCAAAAAGGGAAAGCTTTATCTAATAACATGTCCTTCCTCTCAGATACCATATCTCAAGAAGTTCTCTTGCCAAAAGAATATGTAAAGCACACTTAGCCCACTAACATCTGCCCCAGCAAGTCTCAGATTTTTGAATTTTAAATCCAACGTTACAGTAACAAAGAACTGCAGACAGAGACAAAAAGCCCTTTTTTTACAAGAAATTATATACAAGCAAATTACTATTAACACTTATCAGCTATGGCAAGGATCCCCAAACCCAGTCTGCGGCCCAGCAGCAGGCCATGGCCTGTTGGGAACCAGGCTGTGCAAGTGGAGGGCGAGCACGCAAGCGAAGCTCCATTTGCACAAGGGGAAAGCACACGCACGAAACCATCACCTCTTCCCCCTGCCCTGCCACCACCGCTGCCAGTCCGTGGAGGTGGAAAGGTTGGGGACCGCTGAACTATGGTACTTTTGAAGTACATAAAGAAATGCAATAATATTGTTGACATTCATTTTTAGTAATATAGTTATATAATAATGAACAGGACATGGGGCTGAGCTTGCATTTACCACTGAAACGCATTTACCATTTTCTCCTACATACAAACCACAAAATATATACAATGAGAGAGAGAGAGAGAGAGTGCACTAACTACCCCAACCTTTCAGACAGTGATCCAAGCTTGGACTCTTATGTGTGTGTATGTGTTTAAGATCAGAAGAGGTGAATCATTCTGCTACATGTCACTACTGATACATGTGCCATTAATCTACAATGATTTTTTCAAGTTGAGCTCAGACAGACATCCTTCCCAGTTTAACTCAACCTGGAACAAAGCTGAGGTTTTTTGCATGAAGCATGTATATACTACTGAGTTGCTGGCCAGCAGTTTCTTACACAGAATTTTATATCACAAGCAAGCAAGCTCAGCTTATACTAATCTTTCTCAAGCAGGCGCTCTACCTCCCAGCCTCATTTCAACTGGAGGATGTGCAGTGTGAATTCATTATGAAAGGATCAATAGTCTAAAAATGTCAGGAAGGTAACAAGTTGGATGAAAGCTTATTTTAATCTCTCTTTCCCTCATGAAACAACACTGTACATCTCACAATTCTTAGCTAGAGCAACATACTTGTTCAAGAATCAATCCTTTCTGTAAAGTAGCCTGAAAAGAAGAACTCTGTTTTTCAAAACTCCCAAGATATGTACAGCACAGAAATGAGAACCTACATAGGAGTGTTTTTGAGGCATCTTGACCTGACTGATGATCCCACCACGCTGGTAGGGAGAAAAGGAAGACGTGTCTCCAATTTCCAGGGTGTTTCCTAAAAACAGAGCAAAAAGATTGAGATTCTGCCCTGAGTCTATGCTTAATCCTAACCCTAACCCTATGCAGTTTGATTTTCAGAGTCAGATAAAATCATGTGAATCCAGTTGCTAAAAATGTAAAATGTACATCGTTATCACATTCTTCATGCAGCCTTCCAGGCACTTCACACATTCCAGAAAAAATTTGGTCGACTTCCTAGGCCTCAGAATCGGGTAAGTCTGGCCTACCTACCTATCCAGCTATTTACTTTTTTCCCTTTCCCTTCCCTTCCCTTTCCTTTCTTTTCCCTTCCCCAGCCAAATCTATTCTTCAACCTCAGTCATTATTTTTACATTTACATTTTACATTTGAAATTCAGGTTTCTCTGAGCTTGAAAATATTTTGGTTTCCTGACAAATATTTTATACTTCCACACTGAAGCCTCACAACTTTCCTATCAACACCACCACTAAACCATTCTCTCATTCTTCTCTTATACTGTACACTCTTCACCATCTCAATTTCATGATGGGTTTTCCATATTAATCTTCCAGTTCTTTATGAACCTGTTCCACATTCAAGTAAGAAAGACATGTGGAGACCTGAAGGGAAAGAAAAAAAAAGTCCTATTACCTTTCACACGGATCGTAGACTTAGAACTATTCAGTTGTGTCATCCCCTCAATCTCAGAAAACATCACCCAGTCACCATCCATGAAGCCATGTTCCTGGTCATCATCATGGACCACAGTCAAGAGACCAGGATTACCCTGGATGAAGGAGAGAAATCTGAGATTAATTATTATCTTCCCTTTCAGCATGATCAACCTATTTCCTCTCTAATTGTCTGGATTCCAATATAAAATGCACCCCAAACTGACCTTGCAATATTAATAAAATTGACAAGGGTTAATTAGTAGTAATCCAGCTATAGGGGGAAAAAACAGACAGCTTGGCTTACCTCCCCCCCTCCCCGCTTTTCAGCTTGAGAGAGAATAGTTGCTTTGAAATGGAAATTCTTCATCCACAGTGGAAATGTGCTGGGATTTCACATAAATACAAGCGCCTCGTCATATCATTATTTATTATTTAGATGATTCCCCTTGACCGAAATCAGACACCATCTCCTGATAATCCCTTCATAAAAATAAACATGGGGGCTACCTTGGATAGAGATATTATACTGAGGTTTGAAAGGAGAGGGCGCAAGAAGGGAATTACGAGTACAAAAGTAATACAGAAAATAGAGTGGTAATGAAAAATATTGGCTTGGTTTGCAAAGTATGTGATTGTATATTGGTAAAACAGTCACTGTTAGCCCAGGGAAAGAAATTACCAAGGTGATGTGTTTAATGGCAGCAGATATAGGCTCAGCTTCTGAAGGATCATACACCACAAAGTTTTCTCCAAAGTCACAGAAAACCTGTCTGGAATCAAGAGGAAAAGAAAAATAAGTTATGCCTCAAAGGATGCATTCAACGTATATGCCACCCTTAGAAACACGTAGCACACATACAGACTAACAGTAACTTTCAACTACACAGTCTTCCTATTCAAAAAATTTTCTCTCTACAATGTTCCAGCATTATTTATATACATTTTCCATCTCCTTGGTCCCCTCCTAGAAAAAGGACAAACCATTCATCCATACATACCCAGCCAGGCCCTTTGTGTTAGCTAGGACAAAGCAAATTTGGTTGGCATGGCAGAAATCACTGATATCCAGCTGTTCCTCCAAGGATGAGTTGGTCAGGACCACAACCTGGAATACATTGGATACATAAGCCACATTAAGGAATATCCAATCACAGAGAATGACTGGGAGGATACTCTCCAAACATACACTCTCCGTTTAATGTCTGACAAGAATACACCACACATAAATTTTAGATTATTACTAATAGTTTAATATGGTTGAATTTATATTATTTTTAATATTATGGTTTAATTATATTTTTATTTTCATTTTTAATTTGTTAATATTTATTTTGAAAAGGAGTTAATGTATGTTATGGATTTGATTGTTAGTATAGTTGGGTAATGTTAGTTAGATTGTGATTGTTTATTTGTAACCCTGTAATCAGCTCTGGGAAGTGGGGGAGGGGGGAGGGGTGGGAGGGATTTGGGATATACTATAAAATTTTTAAAACTTTTAATAAAAAAAAAAGAATACACCACACACCTGTCCATTCTGGACAGGTTAGTCAAGGCAACTGCACGCTTTTGCAGATGCAACTCCCAGTCAAAATCTTACAATTCTTTTGGAAAATTTACCATAAAGTTACAGCTGACAGAAATATTTAAGATGGATTAATAAGCTTTCTTACTACTGTAGGATGAAGAACAGAAACTCTTCCATCAATTCAGGTAGATCCTGACTAATTGTTAGCTTTCATCACTTCTTTTTAGCATCACTAAAACTGCTTCTTCTCCCATATTTCTCACTTCCATGGCATGAGACACATAACTCTGTCTTACCTTGAAAGTATCCAAGAAGTTCTCCGTCAGTTTACTGGTGTTAAATTTCACCTCGGCCTTGCTATTTAACGTGGAGAGTTGTTCCTGGGAAACCTTAGCTCGGTTTTGCCCCACATGATTCTCTGACAGGTAGAACTACAGAGACACAACAATGCTAAGAGTAAAGAAAAGTCCTTTACAGAATTCTTTGCCACCAGTAAAACAGCACTTTTACCCTTTTCTTGCCTTATTTTACTATCAGATGCACAGCACTGTCTAATAGCATATTTTGGAGTTGATTTTACATCTCCATTTCCAGCAGCATTTGCATACCATGTGTGTATTCAGCAGTGTTTCTCAACCTTGGTAAATTTAAGATAGATGGATTATATCTCCCAGAATTCCCCAGCCAGGGACTTGAAGCCCATCCATCTTAAAATTGCTAAGGTTGAGAAATACTGCACTATACACTGTGTAAGAAATACAGTAGCTGTAATACTCCAGGAGTGTAAGATAAATGTATAAGGCAGTGATGGCGAACCTTTTAGAGACCGAGTGCCCAAACTGCAACCCAAAACCCACTTATGCATCGTTGGGTGCCGGGTGGGTGTGGCCCATTGGCTGGGCATGGCTGCGGTGGTAACGGCAGGCTGGGTGAAACTAAAAAGTTCAATCAATCAATTCCCACTTTGCAAGATCTTTTTTTTCCCCGCGAGAAGTTGAAATTGACTGATTGATTGAACCTTTTTTTTTTTTTTTTTTTGCACATGGCAGTGGAGGCCTAAAGCAAAAAGGTTTTATAAAACCCAGATGAAGGCCTAGGACTGGGGTGACAGCACGTGTGCCCACAGAGAGGGCTCTGAGTGCTGCCTCTGGCACCCGTGCCATAGGTTCGCCACCACTGGTATAAGGTTTCTACTGATGAGAGAAAAGGACTTTAATACTTGCATTGCTTTAAATCCTCCTCAATATTGAAAGAAACAGAATTCTGACACCACACGGGTAGATTCTAGTATCTAGTAGTTTAACATTGATAGCATGCTACTCCAGGCCAAAAAGAGATTATTCCAGTCTAAGCAACCACTTATACTAAAGAGAATGCTAAATAGCAGGAGCCCAGAATATTTTAACACTGATTCTAAATTAACCTTTTATGACAATTAGAGTCTAATAATGTAGTATTTCTCATTTTGACAACTTTTAATGGGAGTGAATAACAACTGATTCATTAAACTTTCCAAATTGGGCAATCTTTTAGAATCCCAAGACTAGATTACTCATTCAGCCACGTATTGTAGAGAATTAAATTATCAACAATTATCTGTTATTAAATGAGCGATACATTGGGACTAGCTGAGAATCCAGATGGCATGTGGGAAATTGAGTCCTATCTCACACTTAGAAAACTGTCCTTAAATGCTGGGTATTCCTTCCGTTGTCATAATGCCATCTGCAAACTTCTGCTGACACCTTTACTTAGCCAAGGTTTACAAGAAATAACTTCAGTGAATGAGAATTTAAATGCTGGCATATGAGGCAGGCATGGAAATGTGCCCTTGTATCTCTATCTGCCACACACTCCTCCTTCCAGCTTAGAAGAATAGAGGAAGCAATTGCCCTGTATGAAGGTTCAATCCTTCTGCAGCAGGTCTGGTGAGTTCCACAGTCAACCAGGGTGGATGGAGGAAAATCATACTGCCCTCCTGGCGCCACTTATAAGTTTAGGTAGTGTGAATGACAGGAAAATGACACAGCAATACTGGAGGGGGTGGAATTCGGCAGAGGGTGAGGATTATTGGAGCCATCTGCAGGGATTCTAATCTACTCCACAGAGCTCTGGGTGGAGACCAATTTCCCTTCTTGCTGCACAGTACTCTGGGCTGAAGAACTTGGAGCATCTTTCTTTAGACAGGAGGATTTGGAGAACAAGTTACCTCCAATTCTCCTGCACAAGCAACGTGCCACTTCCTTTGTGCTAAGAAAGGAGAAGATGAAATCCAAAGTTCCTTTGGACATCAAGGTGGGTGGCAAAAATTTAGTTAGTTAATTAATATTCCCCACCTCCTTCTGTACAGAAAGAAATACTCTCTGCAAAGGAGGCTAGGAATGGTTTTAGAAATTAATAATATATAGAAGAATGCATATGTATGTGCACATGGTGTCTATGGATATACATATATTACATATAGGCTTCTGGAAAAGTATCCATAGCACGATAAAACTTACACAGAATGTGTGAACAAAGTCAAAGGAAGACCTGTTCTATGCCTTGCAACTGCTCTCTCACATTCATTAGGCAAGATCAGTAAATTGCATACCTGTGAGGACAGGTCACTCCACTGGGCATCATTTTCGTCATGGAGAGTGACATATTTCACACCGGCAAGAATCACATTCTTGGCAATCTCGACCCCCAGCCCCGTCATTCCAGAAATCAGCACCGTTGCTGTAGCTATCTTCTGCATGGCCTCATGCCCCAGCAGATAGCTAGAACAAAAACATCACAATGATGCAAATGCCAAGCCTGAACAGTGAACTCCTTCTGCTCTTTCTCAACTGCACTTTTACCCTTATTTTGATTTTCTTTGCCAATTGCCACTTCCTATTTTTTTCCCCATCTGTCATTATGCAATTTGTGCATGGAATGACTTCAGGAAGACGGACAAATTGGACAAGCGGCATGTAAAAGGTATCTTAGCTGGAAGGGTTTCACACAGGGCAGGCGTGGGAAATGTTTTAGAAAGGACCTTCTCTAGTTTTCCGTAAAGGGAAAGGAGGGGAGAAACACTTTCAATCGTGCAAAATTCTGTTAATGTAACCTTACAATAAAGATAAGAGTTGGTTTTCCTGGTTGTACTTCTCGTATGGACTACTTTGCAGTGTTAACAGGTGTCTTAATCCCCAGATTCTTCTGCAAAGAAATTTCCACCAGATGCTCACTCATTATCTAACTACTCTCAATCATTAGTGGGTCTCTATTACGCCGGCTCTCAAGCAAAAGCCCTTTGTGGTTTGTTAGCATTCATCCCACTTTTGTGTCCCATGTTATCAAACTCACAGTTGGCGGGAATACAATTCCTCGTCGATATCTGGAAAGTCCTTTGTGGCACTCATTCTGATCCTGCTGCTTCTGTACTGTCAGGAGCAAAAAAAAAAAAGGAGGACCAAGGCAAGTGAATCAGGCTATTGGAAAGTCTTGATTCATAAACTTATTGTCCAAGCATCAATCACGGCCATGCTTACTAAACTGCCAGGGAGAATTGTCCTCTCCTCTAGAACAACATTCTCTGGGTTATCAGAGAAGCCCCAACCCTGTTAACTTTCCACAAAGACATTAAGACAGGGGTCTTCAAACTTGGCAACTTTAAGACTTGTTGACTTCAACTCCCAGAATTGGCTGTTGAGGAATTCTGGGAGTTGAAGTCAACAAGTCTTAAAGTTGCCAAGTTTGAAGACCCCTGCATTAAGAGCTTGATGCTCCAGTCCAGAGGGCCTTGCAGGGCTAAAGGAGCCATTTTAATCCTTCCTGATGAGGATGATGTTTTGGCTCTTCCTTTACAGGTAGGGTGTAATTGGTCACATTTTTATTATTTTTTGTGATTATGTAGCTGTGTCTAGTTTTAATCCAATTACTATTTTGTTGCAAGTTGCTCAAAGTCAGTCGTGATTGGAATGGCATAACTCAGTACAACATTTCTTGATTTTTTTTTCTATCAAGACCCTTCCCCACTCTAAAAAATTATGGAAAGCCCCCCAAAAGATTTTGTTTGTATTTATCATTTATGGTATTAAAAATTAAACTGATGCATTTGTACAATATTTGCTCATTGAGTAATGCAGAAATAACTAGATAAATAAAATACTTTTCGGGGAGGGAATCTGTTTTTAACAAATTATTTAAAAAATTAGAAGTGTTTTAGTTCTTTTGCAAATATTTTCAGTGTTTGGCAAATAATTTTGATTCTGAGGACCCCTGACTCCTAGGGGTTTTATGACCATACTTAAAAAAATTACTGGCTTACTAAAATAAATTAAATTTAATCAGAAAGCAAGTCCCAGCAGGGGGCAGCATCTGGCTGACCTTGTCTGGGTTCAGACCTTCAACAGAATCAGGAATTAACTTAATTAATACTTGGAGGGGGAAATCATCAGAGAATTCTAAAGCTATAGGCTTTTGGGGAAGTTGAAAAAACCATTCTGGAAAAAGGCAATAGCAAGCCACTTCTGTACAGTTGCCAAGAAAAATGCATGAATTTAACCACCAGGAGCTTAATTGGACTTACAGTTGACTATCTTTACATGGATAAACAGCAGTGATTGTGATTGGTGTTGCAGCCCACCAAGGGCAGGTTTTTCAGCCAGTTTTAAGACCTCCCATTAATTTCCCTTCTACTTCCCCATATAATCTTTAAAATAAACAAGGGTCATGTTGGACCTCAACAGGTGGGGCTACTGTGCTGTATTATGGCTGCAAAAATCTGGACAAACATCAAATGGCAATGAAAAATTAAAAGAGTCTCTTTGTGCCAACTGCCAGTCATCTGGATTCCTCAGCCCAGATATGGTATGGCTACATATGAGAGCTACTCAGCCAGCCTGGCAAGCAGTTTTAATAGCACAGAACAAGTAGTGCAGTTCAAATCCTGCTTGCTGCATCAGTTCACACACAGAAAGTAACCCAGCTGTTTCAGAGTGCCCTTCTAAGAGTACTCTCAGTATGGTCATTGCACAGGGAATGGAAGAAGGAGTTTCCAGCAGAGTAAGCAGAATAAAAAGTATTAAAATGAGTAGAGGTGAAAGTGAAATGGGGCAACACATTTGTATGGGAATGACAGAGAAATATCAGAGACTGAAGTTGAAACAAATACTATAAATGTTTGGGTCCCCAAAAGTATTAAGTTATTAAACATTTTTGAGAAGGGAAGAAAATCCTAAGGTCAAACAAGAAATAAAAGGCAAAAGAAAATAATACAAGACGAATAAACAAGGAAATCACAAGCATCACAGAATTAAACAGGACTACATTGATTAAGAATTTTTTTTATCAGTGTTATATAATAATATATAAGAATTCTATATTAATAATAATGATCATCACCATACATCTTTACCGAAAAAGATCTACCCATCTTTAAAACACACCATTTAACGATAATACTAAAATTTTATGTTAAGAAAACCCCAAATTTCAGATATTTTTTTAAAATGCTATTTTATTGTCTTGGGTTTTGGGAGCGCCTCTGATGCTCCTGGGTTTGCTAGCTCATCCCACAGACATTCATACCTAGACTGCAACAGAACGCAAGGTTTTGCCATTACAGAGAAAATCAAAAACTTTACCCACAGACTCTTCGCGCTTCTTTCTCCTCACCCGAAATTCAGCAGCTCCAAACCGGAAAAACCCTGGAAACGGCAAAGTCCGCCTCCTTTGGGGCAAGGAAGAAAACGAAAGCGAAATTACAGCTTTTCAGGAACTGAGCGAGAACAGAGAACAATCGCTCGATTCCTTTGCGCTGCAGCTCCGACGGGAGCTTTCTTAAGAGGCGGTACTTTAAAATGGCTTTAATGAACGATTTCTTTCTTTCTTTTTCCTTCCTTCCTTCCTTCCCTACTTCGACAAGCTTGCGTTTTTCTTGCCAACCTGAAGCTAACGGTACTGAAGTTGCTTATACAGTATAAAAATGCAATTATTTTTTTAATATTTTTATTAAGTACAAAGAAAAAAAAGGGATTAAAAACACTGAACATGGTAAATCGTCTTTGACTGACATCACAGTCCATATTGTACATTTAATTACATGTAATATACCTATATACAACTATACATTTCTAGTCTCTATCTCAGTTTATCTCTTTACTGTGACCTCCATTTTTTCCCCTCCATCTATAAAATTCATTCCATATTCGATAAAATTCTGTTTCATTGCTTTCCACTTTTGAGCAAATAGTATCCTTGCTGCTGTGACCACATGGATAATTAAATATGTGTCCTCTTTATTCACATTTTTCTCTAGTACTCCTAATAGTAATGTCTCCGATTTGTACTGAATGTTTTGCCTAGTCATTTCTATTCTTTGGGGCAAGAAGTAAAACGAAAGCGAAATTGCAGCTTTTCAGGAACTGAGCGAGAACAGAGAACAATCGCTCGAAAATACAATTATTTAACGACTGAATTTGTTCTTTAAACGTTTCTCCAAACGAACCCGAGTTGGTCCTTTTTCTTGGTTGAAGATCGCACAGGCTGCCTTCCTTCCACGGCTTCTCTGCACTAAAAACGTTTGTATAAAATATTGAGAATCGCTGAATAATAAGAATAAAATAGGTAAGCACGTGAAAATTATGCAGCGCAGTCATGTCACACACTCGTTATGCCAGTCTCTGAATTCTGCGCAACGTCTTGCGCGCACGTTCGGCTCCATTCGCCGCTCCTAACCTGAAAGAACCCCGCGCGCGTGTATAAGAATACAAGCCGACTCTTTCTGCCAGCGCTGGGAGGAGTTTGCAAGTTGTTTCGAGCGCATGCGCAACGAGGACCTCCTGACAGTTTTGTTTGGATTTGTGGCGCAGCGTTGAGCCCTTGTGGGTCTCGCCCTTGTGCGAGCGGCGAGTGGGTTTGATGGCGGCTGAGGCTGAGGCAGGAGCTGGGCCCGCCTCCACGGAGTGGGAGGCCCCCACGCGCGTGTTGCGGGCTCTCACCTGGCTCGGGCAGGAGTTCCTGTCGGACTGGGAGGCCCAGGACTTGCGGGCCGCCCTCTTCCAGCTGCTGCTGCTCTGGCTGGTGGTGAGCTTGCTCGGCATACAGGTGGCCTGGCGGGTCTACGGGAACACCGTCACCAGCCTCTACTATCGGCAAGGTAGGGCTCCCCGCGAAAGCCCCTGCGCTGCGCTGAGTCCACCCCGGTCCCGCTTCCCCCCTTGCGCGCACCGCGATTCGCACCTGGGGCTCCCGTCGTCTCCCATCGTCTTCCATTGGGTGGCGGAGGTGGGAGAGCAGCCCGGGTCTCCCTCCAAGTATGCCCCCCCCCCGCGGAGAAACCCGGTCAGGGAAGGGGTCTGTTTTGACTCGCTGTCTGGCAGCCTTGCGAGAGACCAGACAGGAAGCGCCGCCAAATAAATCTACTTTATTATAAGGTTACATTGATGGAATCGCGTGACTCTGAACATATGTCTCTTCCCTGCCTCCCGTCCCCCAGCCCCATTACTACCCAAGCAACTAGGGAGGGTCTCTTCTGTCTACATTGCTGCTGCAGGCTAAGTTGCCTTTTATCTGACTGTTCCCTTGGCTGCGGGTCTTTGCCCAAAGGTCATTCCCACGTACCATTATTAGTGGTGAAGCCCTGGCAGCCAGGCTGACTGTTCCAGCCTCTCTGGCAGTTAAGTTGACCAGGGTGTTGGTGTTGGTCATGGGAAAGAAGCAATAAGCTGATGAAGGAGTCACATCAGATATGGGATTCTGTCCCATTCCTGAGAGGTCTTTACTAGTTGCTGGCCAGTTCTGTTACCAAGCATTAATCTATTCTGGCTAGGTTGCCCTTAAAATGCACATTTTTCACTCCATCCTGAATGCTAGTTCTGTTACCAATTTTCCCCCCCTAGCCATTTGTAAAAGCATGCACAAGGTTGGGCAACAAGTGTTAACAGTGTCCTCTACCTATGATCAAGCATTTCTGATACTGAGGCATCTTCTAAGCTTAATTTGCACTCTGCAGAGAGAAACATGGCATCGTTGAATTCTGCAGCGTTATTAAATTGACATTTGTGGATGTGCAACTCCAGTGAAGTTAGTTTTCTCTTAGCTCCTCCAACAATATTCCTCTTCTCCAACTGTGAGGACATTACCCATGAATAATACTCTAGAAGTTGATCACAGAGCAAAATGTTCCTATCCTGGCAGGGCATAGCAAACCGGGGGAGGGGGGAGAGGGGAAGAATGTAAATGTTCCAAAAGTATTTCTTACACTCATATTGTAAAAGGTGAATATTCTCCTACTCTGCATAATCTATACTTTTCCCAGTACACTTATGGAATTTTAGCAATGAATTATTAGTTATTGTGAATGTTTGGTGCTAGTTAATTACCTACTTTAACTGGGCCTTTTTCTAGTTTTATTCTACTTAATAGGATATTCATATCAGATGCTGCTACTATGGATGTATAAATTAGGCTCCAATTATTGAGAACTGCCCTGTGTGATCTGGATGGCTAAGTTGCAGGTGAATTGGAGGGGCCTGACTTTGGCAGAGGCCCTTCCCACATAATGCCCAACTTGTGTTTTCCAAAGTGCTTGTCAAGTCTTCTCTGTGGTCTTTGTAAAAACAGGTTTAGTGTTTTTTTTTCCTGAAAGAGTACTAGAGTTTTGTTTAAAAACTCAACGTTAGCATTTTCTTAAGAGCACGCTAGTTCTGCACAGCACAAATCTAGAAAAGAGAGACAGCTTTAGCCCCTGGGTATTGTTGTTTCTTTCAACAAAGAGAACATTGGAGGGTTTCCACTGTGTCTGCTGACAAATGATTTTGTGTGGCCATACCTTTTACTATTTACATTACTTTGGGGTCGGAGTGTTGTGGATAGTAGTATCTTTAAAGTCATTTCAGTAAACATCTTGCAAGACAAAAGGGAAACAGGCGTCCTCCAAGGAGCAGGAGAATAGGAGCAGAAGGATTTAGTTGCCCATTCTTCTTTTCTTTCCAGGTCCTGGAGGACAGAATGGAGAAACTTCAGATGGCTCTTCACACTATTCTATGTGGTGAGTTGTTTTATTTCTTGAACTGATTATCGTATAATGGCATCAGTGGTTTGGGGCTGTCAACCCAGAAAAACACCAATTGCATTTCTCGAAGGTTTTGATATGGTTGGCTTTTCTTTTTTAAATTTAGGGAGAGCACAAGCAACACAAGTACAAAAACACATCAAGAGTAACAACAGAGATGACCAAGTCTGGCTCCTGCTGCGCCAGGAGCACAGAGGATGGGGAAGCTTGCCTGCCTGCCCACTCAGAGGCCTTGCTGGTTCAGTGCAAAGGGAAAGTGCAATCAAAGTTGTCATTTCTCCCATGCTATGGTTTAGTTGCTGGCCATCACTGGTGCTGTGAGGACTGTTCCTATCCGTCCAGTTGCCAAGCTCTGAATCTCAGGATTGCTTTACTCAGGTTCGGGAAGCTGTAATTCTCTCCCGCCCCTCCCCTCAAATTACATTATTTTCATTGTTCTTCTACGTGCCACAAATCTATCTGCAGACTGACCTCCAGCCTAATTTTTCTCAGCATTAAATTGCTGGCCCAGACCTCATTTCTTTCTGTTCTGGTTCTTGAAGTCCTCTGGCCCTGAGCCAGCTTCTGCTTAGAAAGGACACAGGCTCATTTTTCCAATTGAGCATGAATCATCAGCTGTTATCTTATTCTGAGTAGGTTTGGCCTAACAAACTGTAGTGTGAGTCAGCAGCACCTAGGTGTATTGGCCCACAGCTTGAGAGCTCCAAGATATTTGGCCATTCATTAGGGATTCTCAGAGTAGTCCTTTACATTTGGTAGGATTGGAGAAATCTAGTCTGGGCATTTTTTAAAAAATGTTTTCCTACCTCTGTCAGCTTTGTAGTATGGGCTAATGACTTTCTGTAGCTCAACACTTTTTAGAATAGTTCTGCTTGCAATCCATAAGCGATTGTGCTTATGACTTGAAGGACTAAGATGAAGCTGCTGTATAATTGTGTGATCTAAGAGGTGCTGATGCAATACCGAGCTTTTCTTTTCTCTGCATTGTGCTTATTGCAGAGTTTGTAATATACAGATTATAAAGATGTAATTAAAAAAACAAAAGTAGCTTGGTGGTTATTGTAGCTGTTGCATGTGAACTGCATTTTATTAGTTAAGGGCCATGCTACCCAGTGAGCAGAAAACAGCCACATTTTTCTTTTTAAAAAAATTGAAGGGGAGGCATGCAACTTTTTCATGTTCTTTTCCTAAACTTCTCCCCATGGAGCTAATATTAATTTTAAATTGAAGCTAACAATGCTTTTGCCCCATCAGCTCCTGTAAATACTGTAGCCTGTTTCGATTGTTTTGGTTCACATATGCTTTCACGAAAGTTATGCCTTTATGGGTTAAATTAAAAATGAGGTAACTCTGAACAGTCTGTCAAAGAGGATGGGTAGCACCTAGTTGACCTTGAAAAACTAGGCCAACTTGATCCTGCCTCGTACTTAGATGGAAGGTCACCAGAGAATGCCAGGTCTATGGGCTGGCCAGAAAACAAAAAGCAAAAATGACACCTACCAAAGATAACAATAGCAAACTATTTTATTGTTGCCAAGAAAACTTCATAGATGTTCTCTGAGCTGTATTTCAAGATATTATCTGAAGCTTCTAGCTCAGCAAAAAAAGCAAAGAAATAAAAGAGGATTTGCCTAAGCTTGAATCACTGTTGCTGCATATTCTCACAGAACATGTGTTAAACAATTATAAAAGTCCTCTTCTTAAAGAAAATGGCTCACAAGTAGTTCTGCAATTTTTGCTCCGATTTATCCCTGTGCCTTCTGACATTGTCTCTGAGTATCTAACTACCTGATATTTATTTTAAAAAAATTCCAATGGGCTCATAAGCATTCTCAGAGTATAAAAATGGAGAGGGATTACAGTGCAGTGTCCATCTACCCAGAAAAAAGACAGCTGATCCGCTGTGAGTCAAAGGGCAAGGTCCTGAAGACAAGTGTTCAAAAGTGGAGAGTATCTTCTTCAGTTTTTCTTCTGCTAAATTAGAATTTTGTTGCTGACCATGCTCCAATTTTGTAAGTCTACCCAGAATATGCTTTCCAAATTCCGATGTGCCTAACCAATTCCCAAAATGTAGCCTAGATTCAACTGTATTTCCATGATCTGAACTAAATAACTCATGAGAGCAACTAAGAAGCCACTGAGTAGATGAGAGGAATAAAACCAGGTTACTTTTCTGCTTATCAGATCTCAAGTATTCCATCTCACACTGCAGTCATCAATCATAGACTGATACAGTCAGTTCTCTAGGCCCAAGTTGTCATTAGTAGCAGACTCTTCATAGAGTCAAATATCTCTTGCCTTTTAATACAATGTGATGTAAAATTAGAAATCTCTGCTGGCAGCAGCCTATTTTATAGTGTAGTAATGGGTAGGTGTAAAGGGCATTTTGGTCACAAGAGCTGGATAGTTCTTCTTCCTCACCTCTACGGTGAGGGCTGTGTTCAGTTTGCTGTATTCACTGTCCACATAGCCCATAGCAATATTCTTCTGCAGGCATGGTGATGGGCAGCCACTAGTAATTTCACCTGGTGGACAGAGAAACAGCCAGAGTATTGCTCAATAGGGAGCATACAATTTCTACACATAATAGAAACAACAGGAAACACTCAGATTTTGAAAATACCCTCCCCCAGTACCCATTAAATAACATAATCTTGTTTTCCTTGCGTAGTGCCTTCCAGATGTGCTGGAATAATT